GCGCTCAGCACAACATGGCGTAGTCTTTTCCACGTTCTTCTTGTTGCCACATCACGCTGAAGATGCGCACGCAAACGTGGCGCAAGCCCGAGGCGAGACGGCGCCTCATCAAGCCACGTAATCCACGTCATGTTGAGGGAAGACATATGGGATGATATCGAGGGTATTTGTTCTCAGAGTTAAAGCTAATCCCAAGAAAAAGCGCCGGCGTTTGATCAGGGTTACGGCGTGAACGGAAACGCTTACCCAAACGATACATACCGCTCCAGCATTCTAGGACAGGGACTATGAACATTCTTCATGGTAAAACGGACAAATAGAATTTTTTTGTTGTTGTCAGCGAAAAATAATTGGGCGCGATGAGACCAGGGCTATAGAGAGAACCTTTGGAGGAGAGAAGTGTGGGCACACTTGCCACAGAACCTTTTTAGAAAAATTGAATAAATCGAAAGCTGAGTTCTTCCCGGATTTTATCATCAGGGAGGCTCTCAGATTGTGCCATGTAGATATCGTCCCCTCCATAGCTCGTGCTACCCTTGGTCTGCGTCTCAGACCTGCCACGTGTGGCCAACATGTTGGCAGGGTGGCAACAACATGTTTGCAAAATGCCACAACATGTTGGCAGAACATTTTGGCCACGCCAACATGTTTTTGCACGTTGCCAACGTGTTGCTGCCAACATTGTCAACGTGTTAGTCACACGTGGCACGTCCGCCACGCCAGAAGGGTAGCAGCAAATATGGAAGGGAGATACCTAGTGTAGGTATGCGCATGTAGGTGATTTAGGACTGACGGGACAACTATAAACACCCTGGTTAAAAAACCTTCGTGAACTGCATATTGGGGCTCTAGGAACATTGGTTATGAGCTTGAGAAGAGGAAGAAGTGGGCTCCGAGCTTAATAATGATAGAAAAACTTGGAGAAGACAGTCATAACTACTATTTCGGCCGCAAGAACTTTTGAAGGCAGTGGCTCGGGAAAATTGTGACTGCGGGCTCACGACTACATGGCCTTCTGGACCAACTGAGTCCGATACTGCGCTTGAAGGAAAGGTCAAAAATGTGCTTTTTGGCGTTTCTGGGCCTTGAAATTGCTGGAGGGGCGGGGCGAGGAATTAGCCCAAAAGGAGAACTGGCTGGTGGAGACTGTAACTCCACCTATTTTGGCGGCAAACTGTAACGCGATGGCTGCATAGGCTGACCAGCCAATTGCCAGAGTTACAGTCTCCTGCAGCCGGTTGCTCATCTTGGGTGAATTCCTCGCCCCGCCCCTACAGCGATTTCCAAGGCCCGGAAACGCCAAAAAGCACATTTTTAACCCTTCCTTTAAGCGCAGTGCCGGACTCAGTTGATCCAGAAGGCCACGTAGTCGTGAGCCCGCAGTCGCAATTTTTTGAGCCACTGCCTTTAAGAGGAAACGAATTTGAAGCTTTGAATGAAAAAAGCTGGAAAGAACAACCTCTTAGGATGGGTAGCCTTGAAATGCAGGGAAGAAAGGTTTATCGTGGTGAGTCCTCTCCAAAAGTAAATCGAGAAAATTGGAGAGAGAACACTTGCAGAGCAGCTGCAGGCATCCCGACTAGAAGAACTTCGGGAAGAGGATTTCTGAGCTTTGACATTTTCAAAACTAACGAGTTAGGGAACTTGGAGAAATTTGATTAGGTCAGCATAAGGAGAGGTGGTCACTGTGATAAAAGCAAATGGGGCGAAAGTGTGTCGAGGGAATTTCTTCTAGAACAAATTTGAAACTTCCAAATTTTTCATGTTGAGGGAACCCTATCTGCAGAGGGAAGCAGAAGGGGAACTGCGCTTGCGCTAGATGTTCTCCAGAGTGGGGAATCGGTCACTATACTCGTAGATTTTCAAAAAAAGCAGTTTAGATTTTCAAAAAAAAAGTTGGGCTCTGGCATAGGGACTCTACGTTAGGCTCTGGCATAGTCGGGGTGTACAAGGGCGTATACACCCCAGTTAGTCCTCCTGCGTAGAAAGGTTTTGAGGCGCTGAAATGCGCTTAATTGCTTACAAGGGAACCGTGTCGAGTCGAAGTGGTCTTTCCAGATGAGACCCACACTGCTTTAAAGAGTATTAATGGGTAATTCCAAATCTGCCAAGCGCCTCTGGACGCCGAGTTATGACTGTTCTTCGGGACTAAAAATTAATGCAGAATTTAGGTGAAAATGATTACAATTTTTCCAGCGCTCAGATAAAGCAGTGTTAAGTATTAGCATATTAAACAAAATGTATCCATTCAATAAATAGCTCTGATACTTGACACTGGACCATTTGAGCAAATATGGGCGATTTTGCTTCAGTTTTGCGTTCAATTTTTTGACCTGAAAGACGAGCATAACTCGGCATCCAGGGGCGCTTGGCAGATTTGGAAAGCAGATTTGGAATCACCAATTAATGCGCTTGAAAGCAGTATGGGTTCATCTGGAAAGGCCACTTCAACTCGACACGGTTCCCTTGTTAGATCTATGGGCAGTTTGACTGAAGCGAGGAGACGACCTTTACTTACGGCGGTCTTCAACAGCACTCTGATGATTTTCTCAATACGTTAAGCACTTAGCAAATCTACTCCATTCCCTGCTTTGCTTAGGCAAAAGGCGCCGCAGGTGTATCGCACGCAGTGCCCCTAAATGAGCTCTGAATACCAGAGGAAAAACGTAATGTATACCTTGTTACGTAATGTCTATCTTACCCAGAATTTCTTAAAAAGCCTCGGGCGCTATGGTAGCTTGAAACACAGAGGTATTTCCTCCCCTAACAAAAAGGGTAGAAACAGAGATGAGAATGAATAGGCTCTGGTACTCAAATCCCCTGGGAGAAATCCAAAAAGATTGAACCTTGACATTTGAGAAAAGAATGGCGGCTTAGCATATAGAAGCTGAAAGGTTGGAAGCGAAGGGCTCTTTTGTTGAAGACAGCAAGGCACTCGTCCCCAGTGTCGTGTTTAGCGGCACTTGGGTGGAGGACTACATGTCGCCCTATCCGTAAGTATTCCTACTACCCTTCACTATGAACATGTTGAACAGGAGCGAGAAGCTGTACGAACCGCATTTTCCAGCTTTTGTATGATCCCTGATGATTCCCGGCGCTTTTCTTCAAAGTCATTTTTCTTTCTCCGAAGTTAACGAAAACCTTCCAAAGTTGTACTGAACATCTAACACAACAGTGCTAAGCGTGTTGCTGATAAGAACAAATGAAGTTTTGAAGTCATGAAATTTTCGCTGATTCACAGATCGAAATTTGAGGTCTGGCGAAAAAGTCGACTTTTCAAAAACTCGTTTGTTCTCATCAGCAGCATGCTTAGCTCTGTTGTGTTAGATGTTCAGTACAACTTTGGAAGGATTTCGTTAACTTCAAAGAAAGAAAAATGACTTTGAAGAAAAGCGTCGGGGATCACCAGGGATCGTACAAAAAGCCGGAAAATGCGGTTCGTACAGCTTCTCGCTCCTGTTCAACATGTTCATAGTGAAGGGTAGTAGGAATACTTACGGATAGGTACACAATGTGAAATCCAGGTGTCTGGAGTTTCGAAATATAAAGCTTTCTTTCAACCTGCGATCCCCTCCCCAGCGGGGAGGTTAGTGCATGCGGCTCTTAGGGAGATTTCTGGGGGTGTGGGAAAAAACTTTGACACGGGATGGGGAGGGGAACCTTGGGCACGTCTGCCATAAAAACATCGGGGATAGAATTTGGCGCTTCTGCACGCATAGCCTAAACAGCTTTGGGTGGAAAGAGAATGGCACCGTGGAACTCAGCGCTCCCTCTGAAAAAATTATGGAGGGTGAAGTTCACTCTAGCCAGAAAATCCACCGAAAATGGTATGGGCTCCAATATGGGCTCTAACGTGGAAAGAGGTAGTAAGATGGAGAGAGCGAGAAAGAATGGGGCTGTGTGATTGGGCATCTGCGGGATAATTTTGTTGAGAGGAACTCTGGTCCTGGACGTTGGATCTGCGGAATGCATTTTGGTGCACATTGGCTACCGCAGTTTGGACAGGAGAAAGAATGAGCACTGTGGAACTCAGCGCTCCTTTGGAAAAGTTCTGGAGGAGGCATGTGGGTGATTTGTCTAAGATCGAAGAAAAGCCTGAGGTTTTTTTGTTTCATTCGCGACGTCGTTCCGACATGGAACTCTGAGGTGTTAGAATAGGAAGTGAGAAAAAGTGGGGACGGGGAACTTAGAACACCTACGAGAAGAGGTTTTTAGCGGGGATGATGTTGGATCATTTAGTCCTGAAAACATCAGTAAAACTGATTTGTGCACTGCTGTTTTTTTCCAAATCAAAAGTTGGGATTCCACTGTTCAAGTGCATTGAGTTAAATGCAGACTGTGAATCTGACGCGCTCCTCAGCATGCAACACGCAAGGTCCCCTGGTTCACTAGTTCAAAGAAAAAAGCGCAAAAAAGGTTGAGCATTAAAATGAAACAAAAGCAAAGCAATGTTTTCCTCCTTTTATGTGTGTCGGTGCGAGCGCCGTTCAAGCACAGGCATTACAATCAAATTGATTTTCTCTTGCCTTTAACGCTTCTTCTTCGCTACCGTATTTTGATCGCGGCGGTTCTCGCCGGCCTAGGGAAGTAGGTCCTGACGGCTCCCGAACTTCCATTTGAATTTGATCGATGCGTTGGAAGTGTCGTTCCTTCGGCTGCTTTGCTTGTTCCAGTCGTCGAAAAATTTCCTGAATCGTGCCTGGTAGTTTGCACACGGCCGAGTGATGCCCTTTTTCCTGACAGTGGGAGCACCTATCATGAGCTTTCTTGCAAAGAACTCTTCCTGTGCAATATTCCAGGCAAGTTGAGCATCTTCTCTTCATTTCCAGGACTTCTCGTCATTCCCGTCCTGTCACGATCTCTGCGCAAGAGCCGGAGTGATAGGTTCCGACTTCAACAGAACGCGCACGACATATCCTTTCCGAAGTTCTCTTGGATCTTGCCATGGTATCTGCGGGCCCAGCAAGTTTTTTGATTTTCAAGTTTTTCAGTCATCAAATTTAAATCCGCGATAGGCGGTCGGTTTGATCTAGCTCCAGTTCCAACGTAGGAACTAAGAGCCTTTCGTTATGCAGACGAGCTTCTTCTGGTATTAAGGACTCATCCGGCTCCTCTCTGGTCGACTCTTTCATGATTTTCCATTCTGGCTGTTTCTTAACCTCGTCTACTTCATCAGATAGCGATGCGTCTTGCATTTTAACTTCTAAAACTTCGATATAGTCCTGATTACTTTGAATGGTTTGGCCTCGCGATCCAGTTGCGCATATTCATATTTTTTCTCCTCTTCAACTGTAGGGGCTTCCTTCTTCCTCAAGTTTTGCGGCGGCGCCATCGCTATTGTCTTCGTTTTCCTGCCCTTCTGCTTTGGTATTCTCTTCTATCGGGCTTCCTCCATCAGCTTTGCTGCAGCGTCATCCCTATCATCTTCGTGGTCGAATATGTCGATTGTACCGTTTCATTTCCTAAGTTTCTCCCGCTTTTCGACTGCCGTCGGCAGATTGTTTATCTGTTTTTGTAGCTCATAAATTTTGATTTGCGCATCCCTTTTCTCTCCTTCCATTTTTTCGCGTATATGTCTAGAATTTGTGATTGATAGTCCAGGGTTGCTTGCTGATGGTAGATGGCGCTGTGTATCGTTCGAATTTCCCTTCCAAATTCTTCGAACTTTTTCAATTTGCCTGAAAATTTGTCATTTTCAGCAGAGAGGCGAGTATTCCCCAGCCAAATGTCTGGAGGCAAAAGTGCGTGCAGATAAAAAGCGCATGCGACTGCAATGAGCGCTAAGAGAAAGGTTTTGTACTAACTCAGTAAGAGTTTTGATATATGCGCAAAATTGGGCCATGCTATTTCATCACAAGTGGTATTTCCTTTCAGTTTAGTTAACACAATGTCATGCAGCGCTCCTGCATACTTTGTAAAACGTCTGAAACTATAAATTCGTGCGATTTTGTGCCGCATTTTATCGTGCAGTTTAGATTTTGTCTAGCGCTGCTGAAATGGAAGAGCCATGTTGTTTGCGGCGCTGGGGGTAAGCATGACACTGCGGACGCGTTTTGTTGACAAAGTATTTCTCCTAGTCGGTGCTTCTGATGCACTCTATGCGCGCTTCTGCACCTTTTGCGCATTGTAGCATCTTTTGAGGTGAAAATCGTTGCTAACACAAATATTATTGTTAACCTCTACAAGCGCGGAATTGAAGGTGTTTTTAAAGTTGACAATAAACATGCGCTGGACGTGCGCAGTGACTTCGTTTTTTCGAATTGATAATTCCCAAAACGGACTTAGCGGTAGTTTATATTGTACTAGCTGGCTTACCCGGCTCCGCCGTATCCGGACCAAACTTGGCACACATACACTTCGGGCTCCGGCGGGTGTCACAGTCCACTTTTCGTTATCGATCGATGTCGATTTTACCGATTTTTATCGATTTTTTCGCAGAGTTCACCTACAGGGCTAGGAGTTGGCACAGGGGGGAAGTGAGCATGGGGATTCCGAATACAATATTAGTTTTCAGAATTATCGGTTACTTTTGTTGATTTTCTCGATTTTTTGTAAATTTTGACATGCGAGGCTGAGATTTTGCACAGGGGGGTAATCGAGCATGCTGATTACGAACACAATATTAGTTTTCAGGATCGTCCATTACTTTTATCGATTTTATCGATTTTTTTTTGTAAAGTTTGACCTGCGGGGCTGGGAGTTTGCACAGGGGGTAATCGAGCATGCAGATTACGAATACAATATTAGTTTTCAAGATCGTCCATTACTTTTATCGATTTTATCGATTTTTTGAAAATTTGAGCTAGGGGGCTGGAATTTAGCACAGGGGTGTAATCGAGCATGCTGATCACCCCCCTTGGGGATGATCAGCATGCTCGATTACCCCCCTGTGCCAACTCCCAGCCCCCTAGCTCAAACTTTGCAAAAAATCGATAAAATCGATAAAAGTAATCGATAATCCTGAAAACCAATATTGTATTCGGAATCCCCATGCTCGATTACCCCCCTGTGCCAACTCCCAGCCCCGTAGCTCAAACTTTGCAAAAAAATCGATAAAATCAATAAAAGTAATCGATAATCCTGAAAACCAATATTGTATTCGGAATCCCCATGCTCGATTACCCCCCTGTGCCAACTCCCAGCCCCGTAGGTGAACTCAGCAAAAAAATCGATAAAAATCGATAAAATCGATATCGATCGATGACGAAAAGTAGCCTATGACACCCGCCGGGGCCCGAAGTGTATGTGTGCCAAGTTTGGTCCGGATCGGTTCAGAAATGGAATTTTCTATTCGGAACATACGTACATACATACATACAGACAGACAGACAGACAGACAGACAGACAAACAGACATTCAGCTTTATATATAAGATTAGGTTGATGCAAAAGTTCTGTCGTTTTATTTTCAAAAATTTGTAACTTCGCGAGATTTCAACGGATTTGCTTGCTTGTAATTTTATTAGAAAGACTAGTTTCTCCGCTTTCAATTGTTATTTTGTGGAGCTTCTGTTTCACACTGAGTGCAGAGATAAAAATGGGAAACTAAGACCATGTGAACTTTGACCATTTTAAGTTAAATCACCAAAAATCTGAAATGCTGCAGAAAAACTAGAATAAATAGTATATATGTTTTTTGACCTACCCTTTGCATCTGTTAAAAAATTGTGCTGTTTGGACGTCCCTGTGAGAAGTTATGAATATCGAGTTTACTATGGAAAACGATGAAATTAATTAATTTGTCAATTTTCGCGAAAATCATAGCTTCTCACAGAGACGTCCAAACATCACAATTTTTTAACAGATGCAAAGGGTAGGTCAAAAACATATGTACTGACGATTTTAGATTTTCTGCAGCATTTCATATTTTTGGTGACCTAACACAAAATGGTCAAAGTTTACATGATCTTACTTTTCCATTTTTATCTCTGCACTCAATGTAAAACGGAACCTTTACAAAACAATGATTGAAAGCGGAAGACTAAACTTTCTGATAAAATTACAAGCAAGCAAATCCGTTGAAATCTCGCGAAGTTACAAATTTTTGAAAATGAAACGACAGAACTTTTGCATCAACCTAATATATTTTCAAATTCCTCCTGGATTTGGGGTTTCTGAGCTGACAATTGACATTATTTTCTGCGCCTTCGCATTTGCACTAGTCTATATAGGAAGCAATTCAAGACGATGGCTTTTTCTTTCGTTTCGCAGCGTAGATCTGGTTCAGTTTCTTTTGGCCTAGCGCATTCTCTTCACCATTAGTCATTAATCCGTAGGTGGTGAGATGTGTAGGTGGGATGTTACAAACGGTTAACGTGTTTTTCACCAAGAGAAATGTTAGTAGAATAATTGGAGTGCTTGAAATGACAAAGATTCCTTTTTTTAATCTGAGTTACTCTATGATCACTTCCATTCTTTTTTTTCCATTGAAAGCAGCTAAAAACTGCATAGATTTCGGAATTTTGTGGGATGGCATAAACGCGATAAAATAGACATCCATGACTTGGATACAAGCAATCGCAGCCTAAGCCCCTGCGTGATTTCAAGCATCTTGTTCTACCCGAATACTGATTTCTTTGGCGTAATTCAGGTAATAGGGTGGACTCGTTTACTGCTGGGCATTTTGTTCCTGTGCATAAGCCCATATTTGCGCACCGTTTGCTGTCAATAACGTTCAACTTTGTTGCTCGTATGAAGCATACGGTTTCCCGCAAGCCAATCTTGCACGCCATCGAATCTTTACGTTTGCAATTAAAGATGAGTTTTTGGTGAGGCGCAAACATGCTTCCTGTTTGAACGGCGTAAGTTTAAAAAATTCATTTATGCTAGTTCTGCAAGTTTCTTTTTTTGCCCGAAATCATGCAGCTGGTGGAATGATGCTCGTACATTGTTTTTTGGCAAGAAAGTACTCCGATATTCCCCTGTTCCAACAATACCGTAATCAGCGCTAATGCCGCTGTTATTCTCATCACTCTTGTTGTACGTTGACGTCTTTTGCCAGTGCGAAGGTAGTACATTTGACTATCTTGCGCAAAATGACAGTAAAGATTTTCACGATCATGCTGATGCCGATTTAGCGTTTTTCCTATCAACGAAGCTGCGCACAAAGGGTATACAACGATGTGGTGATGACGTATAACAGAAATGCTAACAAGAAAATTGCTCCTTTCGACCAGATTCACGGTGAAATGAAAGTTCAGCGCAGACTGTGCAGTCGAGGTTTTTGCAAAAAACAAGCGCAGGACAGCTGGTTCGAATGGTAGAAAGATGTCCACTATCGCTCCATTTGACTGTTACTAGATAGTCGTGTAGTGTGATTTTCGCTGGATTGCTTATAAACTGTGGATTGACTAGATCATTTTTGCGCATCTTGCAATAGTTTTCTGCGCAAATTTCAAAGCTGGTGTTTGTTGAAGACGTAACTATGGCGCCATTTTTAGTGCACAAAACTTTTGTTTCTACTGCGCTGTTTCCAGGGTTAAATTGCATGAATAAGACCATGAGGCGAAACAAGAACCAGTATTTCGAAGGTTTGGTTTTTGCTGTGGTTAGCGCCGTTCTTGTGACGTTTTCTGAATATTGTACAGGCTTTCGCGCGCGGAAATAATATCTGAAATTCTTGCGCTCTGATGGAATGTTTGAATGTTTTGGGTTAATTCTTAAACTGTCTCTTGCTCTTGTAGAGGAAAAATATTAGTCTCTTTCTCTTCTAGTTCAAGAGGAACTAATGAGCTTACAGGGCGGTGTATTTTCCTTTTAGTGGATCCTTGCGCACCTGTTATCCATGCCCGTAAAAAGTTTCGCGATGCGGTAGTCTCCATTCATTTCGCGGAAGAACAAGATCCGTGATTAACACCACATTTCCTACTTTTGGCGTATCTTGTCCCAAGCGCTTAGATCCCACACAATATGATTTTTATGTTTTCGCGCAAACTCGTGAGGTATTGATGCTTCCATATTTTCCGGAATTTTTCTACGCGCATATATAAATTTTCTAGTGCTTTTCCTGCTTTTCTTTGGGCTTTCAGCGCCTGAACTTCTTGAGGAAGCAAATAGTCACGAACACCATTTTGAGATTGAAGTGCGCTTGCGGAAAAGGTTAAAATTATCTCTTTTTGTAGGAAACGAGGCGCAGTATGCCGAATTCTTCTAATTCTGACCCGATACGTTAACAGTCTCGAATTTAAGCAGATTTCAATTCCAGTTAGAAACGTAGCGAGTTGATCAACGGATGGTATCTGCAGCGCAGTGCTTTATGTAAGGTATGCTTGACTAATTTGATTAGGCGCTCATAAAATTCCCCTTTGCCATGGGACGTAAGGCGTAATACAGGGTGTCCTAAAAGTAAGTACACACTTTTTAAACGTCAATATCTCTCTTCCCTATGGGTCTTTTTTGGCCATTCAAGTACCATTCTGTAGACGAGGTTCATCTTAGATTTACTGTCAGATTGAATCAAAAGCCGCTCTTCGTCACTGTAGATTACTGTAGGAACTTTGACAAGGATTTTAGGCCATTGGAAGCCATATTCTGCCTCGGAACAAAACCAAACAGGCCATAAACTCTTATACTATGGTAATGGAAGCCGCTGATTTTGAATATAAAATTTTTACTTTACTGTGTTGTTTCTTTCAAAAGTTATTCCAGGTAAACCTTAATAATCGAATTCCCAGTATTTGTCGGAAATGTGATTACACCGTCAAAAAAGCTGGAAACGCTTGTAAAAAGTTGTGTAGTGGAATCAGCGTGCGCGAAAACCTTAGTACACGATTTTTCAGTCTATTTGGAAGAAAATTTGTCAGATAGCATATTTCACAATGGTTCAACATGCTGGAAGTTTTTACCGTGATCCTACAGCAGCGATGAACGATCAGTGATTCGACCGATACTGTAAATCTAAACTGAACCTTAATCTACAGAATGATTTCTTGAATGGCCAACAAAGAGCCATTGGGAAGAGAATTAGACTCCCCCGCATGCAACTACCAGGCGACTCACCCATGAGCATATTTTCTACCACACGTGGTAGATTTTGAAGATTTTTATTTCGTCCGCCTTTTTCATTTTCTCGTATCGCGTATTCCTGTATGCGATATGGCGGGTCAGTCACCTAAGTAAAGCACTCAAGAGATCGAAAAAGTGTTACGATGTTACGATCGACCCGACCTTTTGAAGGATGTGTCGATACAAAGCGGCAAATCGCTTAAATAATGTCTTTGATTCCTTCCTGCCTTCCAAGTGTCCCACAACCAAGTCGTTGAGGTTGACCTTATCATTGATATTGTTCGGAATTCACTCTTCTATGAAAGATACCTCAATAAAGGGAGGTGGTCCCGCGAGTACCCAGTCTTTTTTGCAGTTTATCAGAGAAATTGCGGTGTTTTCGGGCGGCTCTCCATTGCTGCGAATCTCCATCTCTCGCCTCATTTTCTCTACTTTTGCGGTCGTTATGTCAGCCTATGTTATAGCTGGATAGTTGAAGTTTGAAAAGAAACATGACGTCACCTGCAACTGGTGCGCAATCAGTCTTATCTCCAGATTTCTTCCTGTCGACCCAGTCAGGCCTTCCGATGAGTAACTCACGATTCTTGATGCCGTTTCCGAATTTACAAACTCCTAAACAGGAAACGCTAAACAAAAGAAGCACACGCTTAAAAGCTTACCTGATAGGTGACTATGTTGAACTGACCGCACTGTTTCTGGTGGAAAATTAGCTCGGCCGCAGCCTTTAGGTCGAGAACGCCTGCTGTAATACACGCATACAGGGAATCCCTTTGTGAAAGTGATAGAGGACGGCGCGGTGTCTCAACGTTAAACTCTGGACGATAGTTTATATTTCCTATAACATGATTCAAGGTTACCGCTTGGAATACCAATTGATGATGGGATATATATTCCTAAAGGATGTAAAATAGAGGATAGTTGCTTGCAACAAGAACATAGGATTCGCATAACACAGACGCATGAGCAAGCCTTGTAAATGTTTGAGCATAGAACATACGCGGTAATGTTCTTTCGAATTTCAGCTCTAGGCTTGTTATTGCCGGAAAAGTATACTCATCGCGCATTTACTGGAAAGCCCCGCGTGCCACCCGCCAAGACGTGATCAGAGTGCTTGTAGAGGAATTCACGTTCGTTGGTGCCTTTACACACCTGAGCAACCTGGTGAACCACAATCCCCACCCTTGCAATGGACAGCATTGGCGCCCTTAGAACCGATAAGTGCAAATAATCCTCTTTAAAGATTTCCCAGGAAAACAGGTGAGGGTAAGCTCACTAAGGGTGATATCTGATCCAGCCATTTTGAAAGATCTAGAAAATAGATACTACGCCTCCCGTTCTTGACAATGGTTTGCTCTATAAAGCACTTACTCCTCTTCCAAAACATCATGAGACACATTTCTGAATTCAGGAAATATTTGGCATTACTGCTGAGTTACTCAAAAAACCATGGCAATAACATAGTAAAGACTAGATCAGATAGCAAATATAATTGTGAGAAAGAAAATAGAGATCCAGAACGGATGATACGTAAGGACTGCTGTTTTGTGAGTTTAAGTGAGCGATGAATAAAACGGGCAAACTTGGGACAACCGAAAACAATATAAATCTAAATACGATATAAAAGAATCCACTTTAGGAAGCAAGAAAGTTATTGCCAGAGATTGCGCGTCGAAGTGTGGAGAGATAAGATGCTGCTTTCTTCGAAGTAGTCTTTTCTGCAAATAACTTATTCTCTGAGTTTGTTACGGGAATTATATGGAAAATCATTACAGCGTGAGGCAAAAGTATGTTTTCCTGCGAGTTCAACTTTATCCAAAACGGTAATGTAAATCTTATTCAGTAGATGTCCAAGAAACCGAATGTGAGCGTACTCACAAGTATGTAAAATCAACCATCGCAACGAAGAGTTCTATTGCGAGATGAGACGGATGTGCGCATCAAAGTCGTTGGGGGAGATTTTGCCCTAGAAGTAGGAACGAAGCTCAAAAATTTCCCGACTTAATTAATAGTCCATAGTTTCGACACGACTGCCGTTAAAGTCAACAGAAAAGCGCGTATAATGTTGTGGAAGCGAAATAACAACTATGGCAACATGGAAACTCCAAAGTAAAAAATGTTTCACCACTCAAGAATGTGTAATTGAGAAGCAAATTGAGATGGATGAGCACATAACTATCACAGAAATTGTCGAAAATTCTTGACATACCTGCGGAATGTCAAGTTTTGATAGAGCATTGTAGTGATAACTTGCCATGTCTTTAGCTTCAGCAACATCAACTTGACTGCTAATTGCCGATGAGGCCGCACGATAGGACTGACATGCGTCCAAAACATTGTCGTTCAAGTCTAACCCTAATTGGAGCACCTGGAAGAGACGGTGATGATGGAATAAGCTTCATTTTTGAATCATTTACCCACTCATCGCGGAAATAGTACTCGACAATTTGACGTATTTCAATGAATTCAGACTTAGAGCAGATGGTTTGAAAAGAAGACATACAAATACCCATTTGATAAGGGTCATTCTGTCAACATACGATTTTCCAACATCGTTAATCCCCTAGAAACAAAAGTCTCACCATGGAGATCACTTATCTATCGATTAAAGTAACACCCTTAGGAATACTGAAATAAGTGTAAACAAGTCGACAACATAGCAAGTTCATCTTATCTCGCGATGTATGGTCTCACAACAAGAAAGGCACTTTTGCACAACGAATTCACTTATTGAGGCGTCTATAAAGCATAATCAAAAACTTCAGTAGGGCAGCAAAAACAGAACCTACTCAAAGAGATAGAACGGATCTGAGGTAGATGACTGTACGCGAAGAAAATCAGCAAGAAAATCGACATTTCGTCGTTCATCACTGAAAACAACCATCTTATATATAAAGCTGAATGTCTGTTTGTCTGTCTGTCTGTCTGTCTGTCTGTATGTATGTCTGTCTGTGTGTACGTATGTTCCGAATAGAAAATTCCATTTCTGAACCGATCCGGACCAAACTTGGCATACATACACTTCGGGCCCCGGCGCGTGTCATAGGCTACTTTTCGTCATCGATCGATATCGATTTTATCGATTTTTATCGATTTTTTTGCAGAGTTCGCCTACGGGGCTGGGAGTTGGCACAGGGGGGTAATCGAGCATGGGGATTCCGAATACAATATTGGTTTTCAGGATTATCGATTACTTTTATCGATTTTATCGATTTTTTTGCAAAGTTTGAGCTACGGGGCTGGGAGTTGGCACAGGGGGGTAATCGAGCATGGGGATTCCGAATACAATATTGGTTTTCAGGATTATCGATTACTTTTATCGATTTTATCGATTTTTTTGCAAAGCTTGAGCTACGGGGCTGGGAGTTGGCACAGGGGGGTAATCGAGCATGGGGATTCTGAATACAATATTGGTTTTCAGGATTATCGATTACTTTTATCGATTTTATCGATTTTTTTGCAAAGTTTGAGCTAGGGGGCTGGGAGTTGGCACAGGGGGGTAATCAAGCATGCTGATCATCCCCAAGGGGGGTGATCAGCATGCTCGATTACACCCCTGTGCCAAATTCCAGCCCCCTAGCTCAAATTTTCAAAAAATCGATAAAATCGATAAAAGTAATGGACGATCTTGAAAACTAATATTGTATTCGTAATCTGCATGCTCGATTACCCCCCTGTGCAAACTCCCAGCCCCGCAGGTCAAACTTTACAAAAAAAATCGATAAAATCGATAAAAGTAATGGACGATCCTGAAAACTAATATTGTGTTCGTAATCAGCATGCTCGATTACCCCCTGTGCAAAATCCCAGCCTCGCATGTCAAAATTTACAAAAAATCGATAAAATCAATAAAAGTAATCGATAATTCTGAAAACTAATATTGTATTCGGAATCCCCATGCTCACTTCCCCCCCCCCTGTGCCAACTCCTAGCCCTGTAGGTGAACTCTGCAAAAAAATCGATAAAAATCGGTGAAATCGACATCGATCGATAACGAAAAGTGGACTGTGACACCCGCCGGGGCCCGAAGTGTATGTGTGCCAAGTTTGGTCCGGATACGGCGGAGCCGGGTAAGCCAGCTAGTATGTATATAAGTTTAACAATTATAGTTCAAAATGACAATGGTTGACCTGTTTCGATATATAGAAACGTAAATTCTTTCGCGAACAAGTCCAGGCAAGTATTTTTCCTGCTACAATAGAACTAAACCCATGTGAACAAGGATTTCAATATCAACAACGTCCAAGTATCAGATCCCAACACGTTCGTGAAGGATCTGCTTACAGATCCTGGGAAAGGAGTATTATTATACGGGTAAAACTAGAAACAAATTCTCGCCTACTCTTTCAAACTGGAGATAAAGTTGGCAATCGTTAGAAACATCGTAGAAAAACGAGAAAGCAAGTCTCCATATGTGTTCTAGAAACTATCTTGCAAATCCTAGAAGTTGATACATTCATAAGAACAACTTCAAATCATACACAAGAGACTATACCTCATTCTCGTCGATGATCTTCTCATAATACGCTGTTCGTGTGAAGTAACCAAAGTCTGATATTGGTAACTATACCAATATTTTGTATTTGGATGAAAGCGGATCAGTAAAATCTTGTGTGAGAAACCCAGCAAGCCTGACAATTTCGACGAGGATACAGTTAGCCTCTTCTTTGGCATTCATCAAAAAGGACTCACCGGCCGTAGCCGTCATGTTGCTTAGGTTGTTCATACCTAGAATTGATTCGTGCATCTTTCACCCAAAAACCATGTGCAAGAATCGCATGGGAAATGAAAGTGTTGGAAGACTGCGACTGCAGGCTAATTGGAGAAGTAGAAAAAGAAATTAGACAATGCAAATACTTGAACGATTTTTAAACAAGCAACTTTAAGCTTATGCCTAGTAATTGTAAATGTCACTTTTCCTTGCTATTATTGAGTGGCAGTGCATGCTTGACAGAAATACTAGCCTGAAACCAATTTTAATGATGTTTGTTGCTACAAATGAGGTAAAATTTGAAATGAACCAAAAGCCTGGTAAACTACACCAAAGGTGATAAGGCATGCTTTGGAGTCACTCTACCAGTTTGGGGTATGAGTTTATTGAAAAAAACGTAAAGGTAATGCATAAACAGCATAAAACGGCGAGACAAGGCGAGACTTTGGCGTTGGGAGTTTGGCGGGCTCAATCATGCGATGTTTGAATTTATTTTCTTACTGTATGCGCTGTCCTTCGCGCTGGTTGTGTTTTTGCACACTCAAACGGCCGCCGGCCGGCACGATCACATCGTCCGCTCGCCGGCCGGTGTTTAGCCCCGCTCTAAAAGTTGGCGCGGCCGCCGGCCGGAAGGCCGGCGTCGGACGGTCGCCGGCCGGTGCGAGTGTCTGAGAACGGCGTACTCGACCCCTTCGGTTGCGCCTTCTTGCGTCTCCACGCTGGGCCCACTGTTTTTACTTCTCTGCCCCTAAGTGACGACGAACACGACGTGCTTGTCCTCTGCGAACGAGGATGAGCACGTCCTGCAGTTACGACGTCCAGCGATTTTGCCGCACGGCCGTGATAAGAGATAAGCGCGCGACGAATTGCGCCGAACCGACACGTACTGGTACGTGCGATGGGGGATTACTACGGGCCTAGGTGTCCACCAGTGTCTACAGGGTGTCCGTAAAGTATGTATACACTGTTTAATCGTTAATATCTCTTTTCCCAAGAAGTCTTTTGCCTGCTTCAGGTACCATTTTGTAGAGCTAGCTTCAACTTAGATCTGCAGCATAGAACGAATCACCCAGCTTTCTTCATTACTGTAGGATTACGGCAGAAACTTGAAACATATGGTGTCAATGTGGAAAAAGCTGCCGTTTCAAAAATTTTCAGTAAATGTGAAAACTTGTATAGTAGGGTTTTTATGGACGCTGGGTTCAATACTCAACTATACAAAAGATTGTGAAGCTTTCGAAGCGGCGTAACCGCACTTTTAGGAACATTGAAAGCCGCTACATCTTATCGGCATAACTCTTCAATGAAGCGTCATAATAAGTTGGGAACTTTACGATTAAAATCAGCGACTCTAATCAACTTAGTGGAAAAGTTTTTAGGCTATTTTGTTTCTTGAGGCAAAATATATCTTTCCTGCTTCAAAATCCTTTTTGAAGTTTCCACAGTGATCTTACAGTAGCGAAGAGAGATTGATGATTCGCTTTATATTTTATTAAATCTAAGCTGAAGCCAGCTCTACAAAATGGTTCCTAAAGCAAGGCAAAAGACTCTTACGGAAAAGAGATATTAACAATCCAACAGTGTATACATACTTTACGGACACCCTGTATACCACTCATAGGAAGATTTTCAGATTTTCAGATATTCCTTGATTCTTAACAGTGTGCCTGATTTTGACAATCGAATTCTAAAAGTTTAACTTCCTTGTTAACTCTGTGTCAACCTATCGATGAAAATATTTTTTCTCTTAAATCGATATCAAGCAAGTTTGATGTGATGCAAAGCTTTTTCAAATCTCCTGAATTTCATCCAAAGCAATTTGTTAGATTTAAGATTTACTTTTTGGCTTACAAGGGAACCATGCTTCATCAAAGTGGCTTTTTCAAATGAAATGCATACCAATTGGGAGTGTAGTCAAATTTCACCAGATCCCCCATTGCAGCGCATTATCTTGGTTAAGAATGGACGAATTCGGAATTCAAGGGCACAGCTCGATGAGGCGCATCTTCCTACGTAAAGATATTTTGATACAGTAAACGCAGGTCGGATTTCAAACGTTGCAAATCTTTGATTACGGCAGGTTAAGCAGTGGGCTTAATCATTGCACTCTGCAGGTTTTCTTCTTTATTTTTTGCTATGCATCTTGTTTGAACAAAAAGTCCCTTCTTTGTGCCAAACTTTCGCAAATTCTTGATCTTTTCATCATTCTTGGCAGTTTCGACCACATATCTTTACTGGTTGCTGTTCGTTAGCCATGCACCTCTCGTTTCCTTTCGTGTTTATGAGAAAGGACCGTCTGGCGTTATGGCTGATGGAATAGCCCATTTTTAAACGGACTGAATGCTGATGATAATATTTTGATTTTTCTTGTACACTTCCAATATGTATTCTACTTTAAATTCCATTTTCTTTCAAAAAGAAAATTCTAATTCACGTTCCTTTGCAAAATTCAGTTTGCAGCAAAAAAAGATAGTGTCGCCTGGAACTTGTACCCCCAACGTGCACATCGGCCTCTCACACTGGCACTGCGCTAACTAACTACAAGCTATGTTGAATTGTTGAGCTGTTTCACGATAATTGCAAAAGTAGTAGCTAACCCTTCAAACTTACGGATAAGGCATGCATATCGTTCTCCCATACTGATGTGCTGCAACTGCTCTATTTGCTACATGTATCCTCTCCCTAGCAAAGCACGGCGTAGTAGCATACAGCGCAGCGAATGTGCGCGCTGCTAGACCATCTGTGTCTTGGCACGAAGCTGGCACGAATCTGGCACGGGCTGACACGCTCACTTTTTATTGAGGGCAGTCAAATATGGTCCTGCCATAGCGGATAATGGCGCTTCTTACAGCATGGTGTACAAAGATAAGCATGATTCTGCAACAGACATAGATCAACTGCGTTTTCCTATCAATATTGATGAACACGAGATAATGAGTCAAAATATGGAGAAAGAGGCGCGCACACGCGAGGATAGTTAGTTATTGGATTTCCTTTGATTGATTTACCTGCTCTGGCAAGCATAGTATACTATATTCTTGCCTTGCTAAGCAAATACATAACGGCATATCTGTACTCATAGCGCAGCGCGTGTGACCGCTGTTATCGCAGACATCAGCGGTTCAATGACGCGCGGAGGCGCTCGTTTTGCGGCGCCCTGCGGATAGCTCGCTATAGTCTTGCTAGATACTCCGAGCTATCACGACAGAGTCCCTCTATGTTGTGACAACCACGAGGGGTTTACTACGAGCCCAGATAAGTATGGTGACCTTTTTGACGAATTGTATGCGGTATTGTATGTTTTCTGTCTGTCAAGGTCAAGGTCAGTACTCATGTTTGTGGGAATGGGTAGCATACTTTTAGATTACTCATCTCCTGCGGGGAGCGGCGACGGTGAGTAGGGGCATCACACAGCTGAGCGGAACGGGTATTGATAGCTCTTCATGCTTGGAGCCTTAAGTCTATTTAAATTTCAACCTTTTTATGAAGATCAAAAGAAGGAACGTGATTGTCAAAAACATTTTTTTGGCAGTTTCCACCAACATACCGCACGTCTCTAAGCAAAATTGCCCTTTTCGTCTACAGAGGAATTTTAGTTATACTATTGCTGTCTAAGCTCTTCACAAAGGTATCGTTATGTCAATTTATTCAAATACAGTAATTTTTCGAAGCTCAACCATAGAGGAGTATCAAAAAATATTCATACGCTGCAGTAGAAACTTTGCTATGTACTCTTTGTTCTGAGATCCTTTTTGAACTAAAGCATATCTTTGGTCATAGTCTAAAGTATAGACGGGTTTTTAACAACTTGGTTTTTTGCTTCCACATTTAAAATGGGAAGCTTGGTTACAACCTAGCAATTACTGGGTCTTTGGACCTCGCAGTACTCGGACGGGAGGATTTGATTGTGCTACCGAAAATTAGGCAGCAGGATTTCTGTTGCCTTCAATTCTTTTGTGTTCCGAACAGCCAAATGGATTGTGTTACTACCAAGAGAGATTACGTCCTGCGGAATTTCTGCAAAATTTCCCAAAGACCTGGCTTCTATCAACGTTTTGGAAACTTCGGGAATTTTGGACGTTTAGGGCGTAACCACAAGTTGTCTACACTGTTTGTGTTTTTTTGAGTTTTCTTTTGAATGTTTTTTACTTCACTTTGCCAAACAGCACTTTTGTCGAAACAGAAGAATCATTGCTATGCCTTCGACATAGCTTTTTGGTAAACTGTTGCCTTTTTCTGTAAGTTTTCCGCCTCCATGTTCTACCAATCAGCACGGATTGTCGGTCTCTTTGCATGGACTAGCTGTTTGAAGAGTCCCGAAGTTGGCAAGTTCTCTATCTTGAGATCCCCACTCCCACTCGCCTAGGGTCTCTGGCGAATTCGTTCGTCTAGAGTTAAGTTGGTCAGCCAAGCCTTGGTATCTTCTACCAAAACTGCGTTTGGGTTTGGGAAAAGGAGCTCGGCAGAGAGGATTAATTCTCATTAATCTTTCACCGATGAAGAAGGAAAACGACCTGAAGACTTCGGCAAGATATCTGATTTCTTGTTTGTAATCTTTACTTTTATCGGTGCACTTCTGTGTGTAAATAAATAAATAGATGAATAAATAAATAACTTATCCCTCATGTATATGTATAAAGCTAATGGAATTCCTCCTGCAATACTAGTCCGTGAATCAAAGACACAACAAAGAAAGAACAAAAACATACCAGAAGTATATTATGTAGTGGATTGGGAGCGTTAAAGATTGAGGCGTTAAATATGCAGTTTGATTGCATTCTCACTCATATCAATATCCTAACGTCAAAAAAGAGCAAGGAACCTACATTTTCTTGTTACTTATACATCAAAGGTACATTCTTTGGCGTACATGTAATAACGCACCCCACCCAATTGTTCTAGAGCTCACCGTTTAAACCTGTTCCAAATATATAGGCAACAGGAATAATGAATAAACTAAAGAAACACTAGTCACCAAATCAGACATGTGTACCCCTTGAAGTTTACTTTTGCGA